CTCCACAGAATACAATTATGTAACAGTAGAAAAATAATAAAAAATACTAGGAACTGAAATAATTTAAAGCTGAGAAAGATAATAATGTAAAAAAACACAGAAAAGACTGAAAATAATATTAATAATATAATTTAGATCACATTATTATTATTAATTTATTATTATTATGATTTATTGTTTATTTTGTTTAAACAGTAAACAATATGAATAAATGTCAATTTATGTAGTATGAAAATAATTACAAAATAATCTATGAATCAAAATGTTTTAATTGCAATTGTTTTTCATAGAATAGAATAGAATAGAATTTATTCACTTCAGCGTATACAATTTGTTTTCCATAGTTATTTATCACATTTGACGTTACCAACAAAAGAAAAATATATTCGAATATGGAAGAAGGAGGAACGCGATAGGGATAACCGTGGTGTTTCAAAAACTCTCATTTTACTATACTGAAACTTACGTGTATTCAATAATCGTTAACATTCGTATTATATAGAAGCTTCTTTTTTAACTGTATCTTTCAACTGATTTGTATCAAATAAGTAGAAATTTGACCGGATTTGCACGCCTATTGGAATTATAGGTTATATTGTGTTTATGAAGACTCATTTTGGCAATAAGGTATTTATATTCACATTTGCTTGCTATTGTCGTAAAAAAAAAAAAAAAATGAAATGATTCTCCTTTCATTGCAACTACGATTTTGCAGATATCTAAGCGTTAGTAAAAACTCGTCCAACGAGTTTCGCACTTATTTGTAAATACTGCTGATTTTGCTGTATTTTTGACAGAATGGAGTCGAGAACCGAATTTAAAATAAAATCACCGCCAACCGACGCAATTTCTGCGGTCGAATTTGGACCAAACTCTACACAGTTTCTATTAGTGTCATCATGGGACAGTACAGTGAGATTGTACGACATACATGCTAATACGATGAGGTTAAAGTATAATCATGATTTACCAGTATTGGACGTTGCATTTCAGGTAACTAAAGTCGCTAATTTCTCTTGTTTTGCTCAATTGTACAATTAAAGGGATAGGTGGAATAAAGGCACAATTCTACTTAAGTCCTTTTTCTGGCAATTAGCTTTTTCATGTAATATTGATCGTAATAGAGAAGTATTGTAACATGTATATAACTTCTTAAAGATATTACATAAATTTATTTGTGTATAATAAAAAAGCAAATTATTTTAATTTTTATTAATATCAAGATTTTGTAATTAAACCTTTATTTCGCCCATTCTCTCAATTATCTGGAGAGAATCTTTAAATCATTTGTGCTTTATACGCACAAATTATTTTAATTCCATTTATATTTGTTTCTGTTACATTATAGAATTAACATACATTGAGTGTTTTACATTGAGTTCTGATACAGAATGACAGAATTGAACCTGAATCTTCAAATAATTGCTCTATTATTGCATTTAACATTTCCAAAAGCTGATCATATTTTTTTATTCTGATAATTCCCTGATATTTTTCTTTTTCATCGCAAAACTATTTGCAGGATGCTGTTCATGCATATAGTGGTGGATTAGGAAATACTCTGAAAATGTATGACATAAATAGCAATACTGGTATTATCTTTTACTCTATTATCTTTTTTAATATTTTTTATTATTTTACTTTATATTTTTATTACAAATATATATTGAAAATATTTGTAGAAACAATAATGGGTACACATGATAAGCCAATTAGAAAAATAGAGTATTGTGCAGCTGTAAACGCAATATTAACTGGTGGTTGGGATGCCGCGGTAAAACTGTGGGATCCTCGATCACCTACCTGCGTTGGTAGTTATTTGCAACCCGATGTGGTCCTTGCTTTGTCTGTATGTGGCGACAAATTCGTAGTTGGTACAGCAAAACGAAAAGTTTGCATTTGGGATTTAAGAAACATGGCAGGCATGTTTCAGAGACGAGAAAGTAGTTTGAAGTATCAAACGCGATGTATCAAAGGTTTCCCTAATGAACAGGTATGTCCATCCTTTATAAAGTTCGCGATTTATTGCTCACTTCGTTTACTTGCTTGTATTGAGTATGCAGTCACATTCCTTTATAAATTTTATTTTTTATATATAGGGATATGTATTAAGCAGCATAGAAGGTCGAGTCGCCGTCGAGTATCTTGATACAATGCCAGAAGCTCAGAAAAAGAAATACGCATTCAAGTGTCACAGAATAAAGGAGAATAATGTCGAACATATTTATCCAGTGAATGCTATTAGTTTCCATTCTGCATACAACACGTTTGCCACCGGTGGCTCGGATGGTTACGTGAATATTTGGGATGGTTTTAATAAGAAACGGCTGTGTCAGTTCCACCGATATAATGCTGGTGTGGCCGCGCTTAGTTTTAGCCATGATGGTTCCGTTCTTGCCATAGGCGTTTCATATTTAAACGAAGCTGAGATTCCGCCTGGTGGCAGTGATGAGCGAGAAATTTATATAAGATATGTCAATGATCAGGAGACCAAGCCAAAATAAACAGAAAGTTTATAAGATGCTATTACAGTAATAGAAATATGTGATTAAAAAAACTCGTGGGTTTCCATGCATTAAAATAGAAGAACGAACGCGTTCTGTGAATAATTGTAAATATTCTGAATTTGCTAATTTATATGCATTTCATGGAAATAACATGGTGACTCATGATGAGTTCAATAAATTATACGTTTTATAAAAATATATTATCTTCTGATTTTTTGGAAATAAATCTGATTTATTCCTGTATGGGTTCTTTACATATTCTCATATGATATTACGATGCTTTTTTTCTAATATTCAACGTACTGATATTTCTCTTTCTTACTTTGTTGTATTAAATAAATGACTTGATTAACATATTTATCATACAATTATACTACATTTATTTAAAAACAGTTAATTTATGCATGGATTACATATCAAATATTTAAATTTACAATGTAAGTTGTATTATATTGTGTGATCTCTTAGAAAACGAAAGCTTTTTTATTTTTAATTCGATTTAATAAAATTATAGAAATAAATATACACAATTATACAGGGATATAAGTGAAATGAAAAACTGTACACTGTATAAAATTTATATATTTACTAAATGATTTTACATTATATATAACCAATACAATCATCGCAAACAAGCTACAAAATTGTTAAGAATAAATAATCTTTTACAATGCAATGTGTGTGTTGTAATTTACATTAATTCTGAAAATTTTCGAAAATTGATCACTAGAAAACATATATGCATTATCAAAGAGATAGAATTTATTAATAATTCCATTTAAATATTAAGTATTGCAAAATATAGAGAAGGTAATGATTTTCTGCATCGACTATAAAACAATGTTTTCGACAACACAACCATAATTCTCTTTTTACTGTCTATTACATTAATTTTACATTTCAACATAAAATATAATATGGCATTTAAAAATATATACAAGATATGTGAAAGTACTTGATCGCAAGATGCTCAAATGTAATTAAAGCAAATGTAAAAATCTATTTTTTTACATTAAGACTCCTGAGTAGTCACTCCAACCATTGAATCGTGACGTCATAAATGAGAAATGACATGTTGATTTTTCTTGCATACCATTTTTAAAGAAAATTTGGATAAAATGAAATAATAAGATCGCTTTAAGACCCTTGATAATGAACGAAGATTCCTTATCTTCCCTGATAATCAGTAAAGAATCGAAAAAGGCACAAAGTGAAAATAGGCTATGTATGCGCATTGAGTAGAATCTAGTAAACACACTTTACGTATCTTTTACTATTTACTGACTGTCAAGGGAGATAAGGATAGCTTTCGTCCATTTTTATAAGTGTTTTAAAGCGATCATTTTATTTCATCCAAATTCTCTTTATTTACAAATGGCATGCAAGAAAAATCAACATGTCATTTCTCGCTTATGACATCACAATTCAATATGGCTGGAGTGAGTACTCAAGAACTTTAATAAATTGTAATGTAGATACTGTTGTCAGTAATTAATTATAACATAGATTCATAGCAGTATAACGTTATATCTATTTTTTTACGATGTTTTCACATTCTAAATTTTATTGTCGCTATCAATTGCAGTCTTTCTTAAAGAAAAAGATGTAGATTAGTCATTGCAGCATCAAAATAAATCAATCAATTACATTATAAGCATAATGATCAAATAAAATATAATCTAAATGTCAATTTCAAGCGCAACTTATCTTAAAAACTGTACAATATGTCTATTTTACACAGGCTTTTAAAAAAATAATCGAGAATTCTCTTGAGTATTTCAATCTTTAAAATAAATCTGCCATACACAAATGCAAATTATACTACTGTTTGTTTGCTTTTATTGTAGAACTTGTAAAATATTTAAGGCAAGTCAGAAAAGTCATATTTTTATATAAACTGTTTTTAATGAAATCTAAAGATACCTAATTAAGATGAGCTAAAAATTATATCTTTATTTATGCATAATATTTATATTACGATTTGGTATATGGATCTACAAGTATTGCATTTCTTCAACTGTTCAACGATTTCTAAAATGTTTGGAATAACAATATATACATAATATTTAACAATTTGTACTAATGATCTCCTGTGTTGGCTTTTGGTAAAATACCCTCGTAAAATAACAAACTAATTATTTTCTTTGTATTGATAATAATGCATCTACTGCAATATTATTTCTTGTCATTGATGATACTTTGTGCACGAGTTATCATTTTTTTTCTTTTGTCAAGCGAAAATTTGAGGAAACATACACTGACATATTGATTCATTATGATTCGTGTTAAATAATGAAATTATGATGATTAATTAATCATAAATTACGATTAATAATTACAATTATTACTTATATAATTATGTAAATGAAAATTAATAATTATATAAGTGTTTGGATATAACAGTCTCAAACAATAATAATATAATATAATAATTATAATTAATATAATTAAATATAATTATTAATTATAATTATTGGTTGATATTATTCCATGATAACCCCAAACTTTCAATGTTTTATTTCATTAATCTCCTATATCTTCACAAATTATTTTCCTCAATGTATCTCGTATTGTATCATGCGTGGCAAAACTTATTCCAACAGCAATAGGACCCTTTACCCAATTCATACTTAAGCCTTTATAAAAAGCCATTATTCCTTCTTCCCTGTAACATGCACAACGGTAATTTATCAATATAATTTTGTATAAATATGAAATTGCATTTATTATAAAAAAAAATGGCAAATTATACTGTTAAATATATCAATTTTTATGTGTCTGTAAATAAGTGTATTTATCAAATATAATCGAATTTTTTTCTTTTGTTTCTTAAAATTTTAAAAATATTTTGTTTTTTTGTCTTTTTTATTTTAATATTAACTTTTATTTTATTTTAATATATATATATATATATACATATATGTATATATATAAACTTTACTGACAATTCATTCATTCAACATAATTAAATATTTGCTGTATTCAATTATTATCTTTAAATAAATTAGTATCTTTAAATGATGCATAAATACTCACGTATAAATTTTCACGATAGTCGACGTGACCGTGTGATAATGCTGGCCCTTGATCGCTGACGTCTGCATTCTCCGCCGCACAATATCCAGTGGGTAGCTGCTTGTCTGACCGACCATTCCAGCGATGCCGCCGCAAATGAGCGAGGTCGAGAATCCCGGAATAGTCACCGTGTACACTGTTCATCGACACGTAGCCATCATCGAACATGAAGCACGCAGCACTTCGAAATACGCCGCCGGTCGGGCTTGTCTCGCGTCGCTATTAAAGTTAGTACCGTCCCAATATCAGGGGAAACAGGGTGCCCCCGACGTGCCCCATCCGTACCCTGCTTTACGATCATATACAACAGCCACTCTCATTCGTATAACCCTCGACTGTCTTTTTTTCGCATATTGTATGTGTATGTGTGTATGTACGTAGGTCATTCGATAAGTCTGGTAAATCTTTATGAGTAAATCTTTTTGACGTGACACCTCTGGAAAGTATCATTCTTCAAACTCTCCCAGGTCAAATTTCAACCAGAATTGATACGTTGTTCGCATTTGATAGTTGTTTAAAGCGAGCGAGAAATTAAGCAGTTGCCGCGTATAAAAATAAAAAAGGAAACAAATTCCATGCAAAATTAAGTGAATGAGGAATCAATTCGAAGCCAAACTCTGTAATTTTACACGGAATTTATTTTTTTTATTTTTGTACGCGGCAACTGCTAAATTTTTCGTTCGCTTTAAACGACTACCGAACGTGAACAACGCATCAATTTTAGCTGACATTTGACCTAGAAGGATTTAAAGAGTGATAATTTTTAGGTGTCACGTCATCAAATAGACTGTTACACCATTTTATAAAGATTTACCAGACTTATCGAACGATCCCTCGTATGTGAGTACAAGCACCGCCACCGTCGACGGGCGTCAAAGAAATTCATCGTGTGAACGAGAACTCACCAGATAGTAAGTTTCTCAGCATGTCGTATGTGAAGAAACTGCAACCGGCATATGGGATAGCACCGAGAATTGTAGCGGTGAAACCACGATAGGACGCCAATATTCCCTCTTCTTTATACATTCGCCAGAACGCCTGACGTAGAGTCTTGTATTCGGCCTTTAGAGTTACCGCCATTCTCGCTCGCATTAAATCTAATGGATAAGTCATAGTCTGCGACGTTACACCCGCAAGTGCGCCGGCCAGGAAACTTGCCCATGGCTTTTCTCTGCAAATATTCATAACATTAGAATAAAATTTGCATACAGTAGCCTCATTTAAATCATCAGGCTTGCCGCCGGCTCAGTGATCCCAAAAAAGTGAGAATAGTGAGTTTTGTATTCGAAATAGTGAGAGAAAAGTGAATTTTTTTAAACGCTGAGCAACAAGGTAGTTTGTTTTAGATTTGATAAAAATTGTATAGAATGGTATCTCAGGATTAGCACTTTATTATTTTGAATATATTATCCTGTGATGATGATACTTTCATTATTTAATATTCCATTAAATTTAAAGGCTAAATTTTTGAATTTTAAAAACGGTATCGTTAAAAATACATGTTTCAACACGTTCGGCAGAAAAGACGGCATTTTGTTAGCTCAAAATTTATGTATACAATATCTTCATTAAAAACGAACAAAATTTAAATTTAAAAAAAATTATTTTAAAACTTGAAATCTACTTTTGAATGGTGACTATATTTTTTGAATTTATGTGAGTTTTGTAATTTTTATATATAGAAAAGTACGAGCTGACAAAAAGAAAAATTTTTCTTCTCACTGTGGGTTTGCCAAAAAAATTGTGAAAATTTTCGACTATCTATATCGTGAAAGTTTGAAGTTTTCCTTACAAAATCATTTTTTAAAATATCATTTTAAAAATATTCTTACGATTTTTGTTTTTGAGTTATTCGCGAATTAAGTAAAAAAGAGCACTGATGGTCTGACTTTGGTTGCTCATAATTTCATTAAAAATCATCGTACTGCAATTTAAAAAAAAAAACAGATTCTTAAAAACATTGTTCTATTGAGTGGTATAATTACTAATTAAAAAAAAAAGAATATATAAATTTGAGCTAAAAATATGATATTACTGTTCTTAGAATCGTTGCGCAATAGTCATAACATAATATCATATTTTTATAATTCAAATTTCTATATATTTTAAGTTTAAAAAATTAGCATGATATTATTCGATAGAGTAAAGTTTCAGTTTTAAAAATCGATTTCATTAATTACGGTACGGATGATTTTTAACGAAGTTATGAGCAATCAAAATTAGAATGCTTTTTTATTTAATCTGTAACTTGGTAACAAAAAGTCGTAAAAACATTTTTTAAAAACGAACTTTTAAAAAAAACCTTTACGTTAGATAATTGAAAATTTCGCAACAAATATATTCTGTATATAATTTAAGCTAACAAAATTCCACAGAACTTTTTCTCTGACCCAATATTATTTATTGGGTCATTTATATTAGTATAATATTACGCATTTGTACAAGTAATACCACATTTTCTAATAAGTTTCTCATATTGATAAAGCTATTACCTTACATTACATTACAAATACTTATGATAACATGACACTTTTCATGACTAGCGTTTAATAAATTGATTTAATTTAAAGATTGGAATAACTGTAAATTATAATGAAATGCTTAAATAAAAACCGTCCTTAAATAATCAATAATGAAATGAAAGAATCTCGTCACCATATATGACAGGAGATTCAAATTATTCAAATCTACTCACAGAAAAAAATGAAAACATGCAGCAAAAATTTTTTAAAATGTATGATTTATTAGACAGAAATTATAGCAAACACAGAAATAATATAATTTTATCGGAAAAAAGTGAGAATAGTGAATTTTTATTGAAAAAGTGAGCAAAAGTGAGTCTTCTTCAAAATAGTGAGTAAAGTGAGAATAGTAACTCAGCGACAAGCCTGAAATCATAATAATCATTTTGTTTGTTAAAGATGTTTTTGGGATTCGCCGCTCAGTGCGATTGACTCGTGGATCTATGAATCTAGATTCGATCCCACCCGCATATGCGATTTTTCGCGTTCATCGGATTCGGCGTTAAATTGTAGGATCCCTCGAGTGTTGACAAACAACTCTAAGGAGTAAGAATGCAAACTACTAAATGCAAAAACATAAGTGAGCCTCTGCTCCCCGAAGAGCCTAAAAATTGATATGCATGATACTGTGACCTCCTCAAATGGGGTCGGAAAACCAAACCGGGGGAATATACTAAGAGACTAAAAAAAGATGTTTTTGAATAATACCTTTCCACTCCGTTTATATTAATAATTCTTTTCCACTGTTCGTGCGCTGTAAACTGCACCGCCGAATACGGTACTATTCTGACCATAGTAGCGCTATTTCCACGCCACAAACTGAGGAGACCTTCAGTGCGCATCGCTGTAGTTAGGAATCCTATCGCTGCCCTGGCCGAATAGGGTTGTTTCGAAATTTGGAAATTGATCTTTGTACGATCCAAGGGTGCTATCGTAGTCTTTGCTAAAGCTCCTGCTACCGCACCGGATACCAGACTCGTCCAGACTCTTTGAGTATTGGAAATCTCCTTTCCGGTGCATTTTTTTTGTATGTTCTACAATGTACATGCATGAAATTATTTTTGTTGTCGGTAAAAGATGAATAACAAATATAATTATTAATTATAACTGTATTGTTAGCCCACAACTATTATAATGTTACATTAAAATATATATATCTTTAATGTAAGTTTTCGTATTAATTATGGAAGAATTTAAACATTTATACAACTGTGATACATCTCACTCTGTACACAGACATTTATTTATATTTTAACAAATATAGAATTAAATGTATTTTCTTACTGTAATATCCACATCTTGCCTCTCCATTGACGGAGCCGATGTGGTAGGTAATGTCGAAGAGGTGTGTTTTCCAGTGATCGGCAGTACGGACACCTGAATACGTTCGAGAACCGCTTGACCACCCTCTCCGGAACGGGTTGCATGCCCGCTCATCTCTGGCACACCAAATTGTTCCGTTACCGATGGTTTCTCATACAGAAATCACAGTCTTCCTTTTCGTATCGTTAATATGTACCGAACAAGATGACACTGTAAATATATTTACTTTATGAAAATTAAGTAATATGAATTTAAATAGAAAAAATAAATTTTGGAATCTTATAACTTGAACATTTAAATCGATATATTAGAAAAGCTTAAAAAGAGAATTAAAGAATTAAGAGAACTGAAGATAGAATACAAATCTTTTCTATCGTTTATAAATTCCTTATAATTCCTTATGATTAAAAATAATCAAAATATTCTGACTCAAGAATTTGTTAAAGTGAAAATTGCCAAAGGAGAAAGGCTACGAGTCAAAGCTAGTTGTTAAGTGCTAATTATTAATCTATCTTTAATATTCAATCAATATAAACATTTAATATACAAACGTTTCAAATTCAATAAAGAAAATAGAATTTGAAGGAAGAATGATAGACTAATAACGAAGGAATATCAGAATTGCACATTTCTCAAGAAGTAGAGTAGGAACTTAAATTTAATACTATCATATATCACTTATAGTTAGGTAATATATTGACGTAAATAAGATCAAAGTACAAACTGTATGACTTGCACTCTACAAATGATAATCTCTAAAAGTTTATAATAAATTCGAAGGAAATAATTCTCATATCGACGATGACATTTACTCTAAAATGTATTATATTTTATATTTTACGTTTAAAGTTATGGAAAATTGACTCATTTTGTGCTAAAGAGCAAAGAATAATATTTTTCTTCAAGCACTTCCACGTGATCGTTTGTTGAAATATATAAATGTAAAAACGGAGACTTAAAGGATAAATAACAATTCGGATAGGAAGGTTTTATGACGCTGATAAGAATTATTTTCCAGTTGTCTAAACTTTTACAGTTTTTGCAAATATTGTCCTCCTCGTTATTAATTTCAAGTGTTTATTAAATGCGTAATGCAGAAGCACCAGATAAACAATTCTTACAAACATTTCTGCATCACGCGTAAACATCTTTGGTATGCTTATGACGCATGTGCAAATTAGATAATCGTTTTTTGCATCTATATACCGTTGACAAAAATATCTTCAAACTATCGTCTTTTATCGGTTGCTATTCCAATTAGAATTCTATAAGAGATTTCAGCGGAGCAAGATTATCGCTACTATCCTTTCAGAGAGATAAAAAATTTTCTATGAAGATTTAAAAAAGATAGAAAACTATCATTTTACTTGTGACACTGATACTTTATTTTTATCGAGATGTAAAGTTTAAATATGCAAAGTAATTGCTAAACAATAAATTTTTATTAATAAAGCATCGCATATTGCAAAAAACAGACGACGTTAATTTTTTGTAAACGAATCGGAAAAACTTTCTAAATATTAAGTAGAAACAATAGCCGAGAAACATGTAATATCTCCGTTTTTTTTTAAACAAGAAGAAGATATTGAGTACTAAACAATTACAGTTTTTCAAATTTGAAAGGAAGTTTTTAGAACTTTTTTGATTATATTTGAAATCTCTCTCTCTCTCTCTCTCTCTCTCTCTCTCTCTCTCACATGCACGCGTCCTTGCTACGCGTCACAACGTGATAACCATCATGCATTGACAAGACATATAGCAGGATATACATACAGTGAGTACAAAAAGTATTCGTACAGAGAAAATATTTTTTGAAAAAACTTTATTTAAAAAAATTAAATATTATCAGCGAGAAATGATGTCGAATCGATATCGAATTGATATGTCATATCGATACGATGATTTCAACACCAATTTGACGTCGATTCGACGTTTAATTGATGATCATTTCTTACTGGGTAATTAACAATTTATTCATAAAGAAATAAAATAGATTATATGTTTCTTAAAATTATATATACCAAAAAGATGTGTATTAATCATAGAAAATATATCTGAAAAAATAAGCGAAAATTAAAAATTCTATTGTTTGGATACTCAAAAAGTATTCGTACAGACGAGAAATTTAGAAATTCTAATATCAGAAATATATGCGAATCTCGTTTGTTTATGTTAGAACAGAATGTATTCATTGTATAAAATTGCTAATTAATATTTATTTTCTACAAATAAGACTTTTTTAATAAAAAAATTTCCTTGTACGAATTTTTGCTCTCACTGTATATGACTGTATTTATGCATAGTCACGCGACAAAATAAACTACAATGGATATTCCAGTTTAGAAACATACTGGTTATTTACCAGTACGCTTCCAAACAGGATCATAAATATCCTTTCGAAGAACGCTTTAAATAAAAGCTTAAGAAATTTGTCCGACGCGAAGATTTGAGTAAATAATTTGCTTAAGCGGGCCGGAATGTTGGAGTATTTTTAGGATCCACTGGAATGATTTGCGAGATTGCATCCGGAACAAACTCAACGATTTCATCTCTATTGCAGCGTGAAACGAGCATCTGAAATTTTGAAACATTCAAATTGGAATCAAAGATAGGGGAAAACTTTTGGAAACAAAGGATTGAGTCCGAATAGCTCCAAATACGACATTTATTTCCTTTTTCAAATTTAAATGAATTAATTAAATTAATTTTGAATAACCTTAGTAATTTGTTAATAAAGGATTTTACGATAAAAAAATGCTCTATGAAAATGCACTGTACACATTTTCGCTGCATATGCAGCTCACAATTATAGAATTCCAAGTATACTTCCAGCTTACAGATGACGCATGTTAGACGAAAATCAAGTCTAATTCTTAGAACGATCTTAATTCACTATAAAACGCTGTAAAATGTGACGCTGTGAGGATATTATGTAACCCGCTTGTTATTGGTACTTAAAAATCTGTTCGCGGACAAAGATATGAAAAAGACGGTAAAAAAAATTGGGTTAACCATTGCTGGAGCACATGGGAAATGAATAGCGATACGTAAAGCGCATGCGAGATTATCATAATATGTAAATAGCTGTTATAACTCACACCGTGATAAATAGCTAACATTTCGATCCGCGCGTGATTAATAAACACCAAGTTATTTCTGATCAAAAGTTTATTATTAATGAGAAATTCAATTTTATTAATTATTTTGTATCGTTAAAAAGATTATGTAATACCCTTCGTTAATACATATAAAATTTTATTAATAAAAAATTAAAATTAAAATTAGACTAATAATCCCGTTTATAAAAATTTCTATTGATCATTTTGTACTGATCCGTTATACGGATGATGATATAATATCTTTCATTAATGTACTATTTTTAAATAATATTAATTAATATTACATAAAAATTACTGTAAAACTTTACTACTAACAAATTAAAATAGAACTAATAATTATCGATAATTTCCATTAATTTTGTTATCAAATTTGGAGCTTCATTATCATCCAATTTTCAGTGTTCCATTGAAGAAACATCTGGCAATCAAAAATGCTAAAAATAACTCTACATTGAATGTCATATTGTGTTAGCAATCATCTTAGATAAGTCAATACAATTTTCCATTACAAATAATATACTGATATATATTATCAATTAAATAATACACTTATTAAAGCTAGAATAATAGATAATGAACGATGTGAAAATGTTTAACAAACGTTGCCCACTTTTTCAGAGATCTTTTGGACTTTGCGTTGTTCGATAGAGCAATCGGTTAAGATGTCGATGTAAGAGCAAACTACAGCGCTAAAACATGTACATGACATTTGATAAAATATCTATTTATGGCAATTCGAAACAGAGGTGACAAGTCACCGTGCAAAGTGCGCTAAAACGGCGGACAAATAGTACGTAGAACAAGTGTATACGTATAATACGGCGAACATGCCGGACGTGTACTTGATTAACTCGAGCTGCGATCGTCGATTCGAATCTATTGCAGACAGGTTGATTTTGTGTCTGCACACAAAGCGGTCGGAAACACTTAGTATCCTCTTTCATTTTGTTTAAAAAAACGAGTAATCCGATGATTAAAATCTCAAGTCGAAGTGAAAAAGAGGAAAATAAAGAGAAAGAAAAATAAAAAAGTCAAATGTAATTCGTGGCTTATCGATTAGCATTTTCTACGTGTCACAAATAAACGAACTAACCTCACTGTCTGCGCTCCGGATGATAGTAATTCGGATCGAATTTCCTTGACACGTATTCACTGGTATCCTCTTCTCCTTCGTCGTTCATCCGCGTTCCGCGATCATTTGTACAGTTTACGGAGTACAGACTACCCCCACTGGCTCCACTGCCAACAATACTAATTGTCAGTGCAGGCTATGCTGCGCAGTGCGCAGTGCGCAGTGCGCAGACGTCAAAGAAATTGCGTCCTGCGCCACCTTGCGGCTGGTTTTGCGCCATGGTTTTGCGCTTTTGATATATAAATGTGACACAATTTGTAAAGTCACTAAATATATCTAGATGCATAAATACGTCTACTAAACTAATAAATCATAAAATTAGTATATTATAATATTATCAATTTTTAACTCTTAATTACGTCAATATTTACAAGGACGCGAACTCTCGTTAGGATATCGGTCTTTAATAGTGTCTCGTCGATGTCAACGCGATGTTGCAAACGCTTTGAAGCATTTTTTAATCGGTCAGTTTGTAAAATTCTTTCTTCTAATTGATCCATCAAAGCATTTGTAGGAAGACTTTGACCACAGCCTTGATTGGCTGATTATTCTGCACATATGTTTTCGACTTTAAATTCCCTAGCGTTTGACCAATAGTTTTTAATCGCGTCCATTGCTTTTCGATGGAATAGATGGACTTTCCGATCTTATAATCAAGATAATTCGTGATCGTTCATGGTAATCATGGTGCGATTACGGGTTACGGTATGCGTATAGAAGGAATTAATTGCCGGGGAGTGTAATTTTAATGTGTTTAGTGAAAAGTAAGGAATTACAAAGACTACATACGTATTGACATACATACGCGCATCTGTTCGACACGTTTACAGGTATGAAAACAAATTTCAGCTTCATATTTCGTGTATCTCACGTTTACGGTAATAGATTAATTTGCAGATAAGCGAAATAAACAGAAGGTTTGTTTGCGTTATAACATGTTTTTGAAAAGTAAGAAAATTCTAGCAGGAATGAAAGACAAACCTTAAGATTATGAACTTAGGATAATGGACTTTGTCCAATTAGACTTGTTTTGAAAGCCTATAACATTCACAATGGATCATACGGAACAGAGTTATGTCTGCAGCTTGAACATCTAGAAGTTGGTTTGCTCTAACGTGCTTGTTGAAACAAGTAGAAGCATGGTAAATTTAACATAATTCCTGAGAAGAAAAAAAGTAAAACGAGCCTCTGATTGATCAGCTAATAATTTGGCACTATGATCCTTTTGGGGTCGGAAAGCTAATCAAGGGTTTTTAGAAGAAGAAGAAAAAGAAGCATGGTAGAAGCATGTTGGAGCATATGATGCAAATAAACTTCTAGTTGATTACTGATTATGAATATTATGTGTTATTGTGAGCTTACAACAACAGGGTTGTCACAGACCTGGAAAATTAGAAAAAGTCAAGGGAAAATATAAAAAAGTCTGGAATTTCGAAATTTGCTCACAATTTTCTTAAACTACTTCTATTCCAAATAATTATTATAATTTTTTTTAATATTATATCTGATGTTTATAGTTCAAAGCTTGCGCACTTTAAATAATTTAACAAAATAATTCAAATTTATATTTTATTTTTATTTGATCCTTTTTTTTCGTCATAACTGCATTCTTTTTTCCAAAACTAATTTATTTTTTTGCTGGCTTGAATTTACACTCAAAATTTTATTATGCTACTAAACTTTTTTTGCATTTTTAATAATATAGCTTTCCTACAATCCATGAATCTAAATGTTAAAATTTACATATTTTATATTAGTCATGTAAAATTTTTTGTTTTTATCTGGAAAACCTCCTGAAAAAGTCAGAAAATTTTAAAATTTAAAAAAAGTTTAAAATTTATTTTCTATGGCAATTTTAAGATTTGTTTTTTATTACTGCACTAGACTTGCTGCAGAATTTTCTCACTTATTCAAACATATTTATTTTAAACAATGAAATATCGAACAAAGTCAATG